CCAAGACATTTAGCCTGTTACAGAGACGTTTAGATTTATATACACTGTTTTTACAAGAAACAGGCCTTAAACTCTGCATTTCATAGTCTAGAAAATTACAAACAGGTAAGAGGACACCAGGCTCAGCCGTGTTGGGCTTTCAGATCCAAGCATCATGAACTATCATGTTAATGCTTAAATGAATATGGAAACTTCACTTGCTCAACTTTCCATCAGCCGCTCAATTGTCCTATTTGGTTTCTTTTTCCATCTATAATCAGGGAACAGTAAAAGAGGAGATAGTTTGAGGCACTCATATACACCAATTTAGAACTGGAAGAGACCTTACAGATCTTTAGAGACTGTCTAGTCCAACCAAACCCTTCATTTTACAGACAACAGGCACATAACTTTAGATATGGAAGGGAGGAGTGAATTCAGTGCCCTTATTCTACAAATGGAGTTGTGTCTTCCCAAGGTCACACAGCTAGTATCTGAGCAGATTTGGGGGTGCGGATGGGAGAAATTGAACATACGTTGTTTTTTTCACCCTTCAAATCTACCATTCCACACTGCTACTGAAAAAACAAGCTCAGAGAAGGTGACTTGCTCAAGGTAATATAGGTAGTGTCTTGACTGGTGGATGTAGGAGTGGGGGAATCTAGGACTTATTGGTTATTATAATCAATCTACTTTAGATGCTTCTCCCTCCATGGCATTTTAGTTAAAGACCAATGTGTATACAAACCATTAGATCCCTTATTTTATGGTGAAATGTTTAAATAAAAAGTCAGATCGTTGTCAGAACTTCTCTCCTCTCTAATTAAACCTCACCAGTCTTTTGACTTTTATCTACCCATGCCTCTCCTCTACAAAGACTTCTCAGACCACTACAGCTCAGTAATCATTCCCTTCTGTGACATTCTTTCACTCCTCTGGCAATGTGAGCTCTTCTCACACTGTTCTGGCCTGTTTGTTAAATGTGTAGTTTGACATCTTGGATGTATTTTCCTATAGAAACAATGTTATCAGTAGTGGTTAGGTTTCTCAGTCAGAATCATACATACACAAAAAAATACAATAGAAAGATTACTGTTGCAATATCTACTTTAATACTTCAAGGATCTGTTCATTTTATGGGCACTGGTACCCCCTTCTAGGATACTTCTTGGTGACTGAACAGTAGTATTAGTTGTACAAAAGTGTAATGAGTTCCAAAGGGATCAATCAGCACTTTTAAAGCACCACCTACTGTCCATTAGGCTCTGTGTTAGGCACAGTATACTAGACAAGTAAGGAAGAAGCTACCCTCAAGGAACTTAGAGTCTACTGAGGGGATGCGGGGGGGAGTATACAATATGTTTACAGATTTGTAAATATAGGATATATTCACAAGAAGTGAAGGGATAGGGAATAGATGGAATAAATAGGAAAGACCTCTTGAAGGAGATGATACATGAACCAAGACTTGAAGGGAACAACAGGATCCATGGAATACAGGGGGAGAGAGAGAGAGAGAGAGAGAGAGAGAGAGAGAGAGAGAGAGAGAGAGAGAGAGAGAGAGAGAGAGAGAGAGAGAGAGAGAGAGAGAGAGAGAGAGAGAATGGAGGACAGCCTGTGCAGGGACAAAATGATGTAAGAGATAGAACAATGCACTGTGTATAGGGAACATGAAATAAGCCGGTCTGTGTAGAGACAGCGCTTGAAGAGGACTGTGTCATCAGTCTGTATGAAAGGATAAGTTGGAGCCAGATTTTTTTTTCACTTTTAAATTTTTTTCAAGTAACAAGTAGCTTAAAAAAAATAATCTGTCCCTCCCACCATTCCTTTTCCCTCCTCCCCACCTCTGAGAAATTTAAAAAATAAACATCTAAAAAACAAATTCCTCAAAATATATCTACATAGCTCAGCAAAACAAATTCCCACATTAGCCATGTTCAAAAATGTATATCTCTTTCTGCATTTTAAGTTCATCACTTCTCAGGAGGTGACATGTTTGATTTCATTCTTTTTTCTTGTAAACCATATAAACCATTCTTAAAAAATAACACAACCACAATAAACTTGTGGTTTGTCAATGTGCTGATAAGAATTCTTTCACATTTGTTTTTCTCTATAATAATTGTATAAATTATTCTCTAGTTCTGCTCACTCCTCTCTGTATCAGTTCAAAAAATTCTTCCTACTTTCCTCTGAAACCTTTTCATACTTTCAGGCCCAATGATAGTTCATATTGTTCACACACCACAATTTATTTAGCCATTCCTCAACAGGACACCCCCTTAATTTCCAAGAGAGCTACTATAAATATTTTTGTACATATAGATCTGTTTCCTTTCTTTGATATCTTTGGAGCATAGGCCTTAAGTTCCCGGGCATTGTTCCAAATCGTTCTTCAGACTGGTCATACTGATTCATGGCTCTAATTCATATTCAGTTCACTAACGTACCTTTCTTCCAATATTTGTCATTTTCCTCTTCTGTCCTCTTTGCCAGTCTGGAACATCAAAGTTGCTTTAATGGGTAGTTCTCTAATTATTAGTTATTTTAAATTATTTGGGGTTTTTCAGGATTGACAGCTTGAATTTCTTCATTTGAAGAATGCCTAGAGCTGGATTGTGAGGGGCTTTAAATGTCAGGGGATATTTTATCTAAGTAGCAACAGGAAGACACTGAAGCTTCTAGAGTAGGGGACTGGTTACAATTTGGTTGTGAGTTCCTTGAGTTTTCTATCCTCTGGGCTTAGTATAGTGCCTGGCACAGAACAGGCATTTAATAAATGTTTATTGACTCCGAGTCTCACTCCATTCAATGACCATTAGGACAAATATTAAACAACAGACCTATGTAAGATCTGTGATGCCGCTCCAGCACGTCATTGTGACACGGAGATGACTGAGCTCTCAAAGGCTATGCTAGTAGAGTACAAAGTCTGGAGCGTCCTACCAAGCTAGAAAGGCAAGCTGCTTGGGAGTGGTCTTCATGTGTTGTCCAAAGCATAAGCTAGCTGAGTTTGGAGTGCCTTGTCACCAGGTGGACAGCAGGGTGGATTTTCTCTGGTTATAGGAACCCTTGAAGGATGGTTACCATTATTAGAAGGAACGTCAGGGCAGCTAGATGGTGCAGTGAATAGAACTCTGGTCTTGGAGTCAGGAGGACTCAAGTTCAAATCCAGCCTCAGACACCTAACACTTAGCAGCTGTGTGACCCTGGGAAAGTCACTTAACTCCAATTGCCTCACAAAAAAAAAAGGGGGAATGTCCTTACTGGAAAAAAATCACCATTTTGGGGCTGTGTGCAGAGTACTATTGAGTATATGGGAGACAAAAAGTTAAACGAATCTCAGTCTGTGTCTTTTAAGTGGAACAAAGAGAGGAGAGAAGATGAGCTTGCAATAGATCTTCCAGGGATCTTTGGAAACAATAAAGAAGGAATGGGCTTAAGGAGAGTGCAGATACACAAGAAAAGGAAGCTGGTCAGAAATTCATATAAAAGATCTTTGAATGGCAAAAGGTAGGAGCATGCATGTTGGATGAAACCCCTCAGAAAGAAAGGAGGTGTTATAGGAATTGACTTGCTAATCAGTTTCCCTAAGAGAGAAACAGACTAAGAGTTGAACTGTTGTTCTTGGAAGTAGTAGTTTTGGAGTAGGTGGTGGGGAATAGGAAAAAAGTAGTATGCAACTGCCTTTCACACATATATTTTATTTCCAACTTGGCGTTTAGAAATTGAGAGAAATCTCTATATTGCTGAGGGTGTATATGGGCTATTTCTCATACTTCTTCATATTCTCCAAAAACTCCATAAAAGGACATGTCTATAGAGAGACAAACAACCCACAGATTAATTCTTTTGTCACTTCAATTTTCTGTTAATTCTATAAAGCTGGAGACTTGTGATGCCATGTGGCCATTCACGTTATTGATGAATAGACTGCATATTACAAGAACATTTAGATCTACACATGCTCTATTGGCTCAGACAAGTGTTAAAGCCCAGTTCATTTCGTGTTTTAAGATACTCCAACGATATTACCATTTCTTGTACAGAAATACTCCTTTCACTGGCTCAACTCAATGACGTACTAGTGGGCTTCAATAGTTGTTTTGGACAAAACATATATCACCCTTCAGCCAATGGGGTCATATACTTCTTCAAAACCGCCTAGGCTAGTCCATCATGATAGAAAGGCTTCAAGCATGGGCTCAGTAGCTTAATACGAAGCTGTAAATGAATTACGCATATGAAAGGCAGTTGACCGTAAGTGTTTTCAAAGCCTGTACCAGCAGAGCCCAAGCTTAAATTGCCATGGAAGTTCAACTAAGAGTAATGGGTTGAACCTTTATAGAGGTGGCTTTAGGCTGGATATAGAGAGAAACTTCCTAGAGGTTAAAGTTAACCAAAAGTGGAATGGGCCACTTCGGGAAGTACTTGGCTCTCCTTCACTGCGGTCTTTAAGCAAAATGTAGGCAATCACTTGTAAAATATGATACAGAGTGAATTCTTGTTCTGGTATGGATTGGACTTGATGGACACTGAGATCCCTTTGAACCCTGAGATTCTGTGACCGTTTGATACATTCTAGCATAGGCCTGCCTCTCTCCTCCTCACTTTCTACATGACAAAAAAGGCAAATAAGCTATTAGATTGTTTCATGTGAGACCTCCATGGTCACAACAGCTGATGAGAAATATAAAAACAATAACTGATGAAAAAAAGGGGATATGTACACAATTTTTTTATATCTTCCAATTATTTAATTTCACTCACTCCTTGAACATTCAAATTCATAAACATAGATTCTAAGGTCAAATGCCTTTAAAACACACACACACACACACCCAAACTTTTTATTAAAATATTTATAAATGGGAATAGCCAGAGGCAGTACATAGTATTTTTGTTTAATATGATCATCTCTGTGTTCTTTTCAATCTTATAAAACTATTTTTTCAAATCAAAAGAGAGGAAAAGACTTATTTTTGTACCATAATATGAAGTAAAAAAATACTGTAGTAGTTCTTCAAAATTAGTGCATATAAAATGTCCCACTAAGTGAACATTAAAATATAAAAATATAGCTAGAATTAGGACTTTAACTTTGGCCAACTCAACTCTATGGAATAATTTAAAGACAATCACAGACTAATGATAAAATCAAACAAATTCCGGGCAAAGAATTCTGAATCACTTTTCTTAAAAAAAGCTGCTGTTGTACACTTCAGATATCACGTATATAAAAAATGTTTCAATCACATTAAGCTACTGTTGTTACAAGTATCAAATGGAAACATGTTACTATCAGCTAAATAGACTTTAAATCCAAAAATAAGCAGTCACAATTATTTTACTTTTCTCATTAAAAACTGAGGTCTCACTAAACTCCTGTGGTTGTTCCAAAACATAGAAAAAAGTAGTGTTGTAGGTCCTATTTTTAGAGAGAAGATCCCTTAAAATTCGAAAAGAAAATTTACAGTCAAGGGCCTTTAGTTTGTCAAATTGTGTGTTACTTTTCAAACAGTAACTTAAAAATCCGAAATGACAAAGCTTTGGAAAATAGGAGTAATAATGGAAATGCCAAATGATTTGGGGGTACCACATAAGATAAAATATAGTACTTCAGAGTGAGGGATGGCCTACAACTCAGATAACCATAGCTCTCTTTCCTTAGGCTTATCACAGTACATGAATCTGAACATTTTAAGAATTTTCCCAGACTGTTCTATTTCTCTCAAACTATATGATCCAATGACCTTCAATTAAAATTTTTTCTTCCTCTTCTCTTTTTCCCCAGTATTAATTCAAATCTAAACTGATTTACCCAAAGTTTTTTTTTGGTGGGGGTGGGGAGGATTGAACAGTGGGGCAGAGAGATTGGAGAATAGGAATGAACTAGAACAAACTGAGGTAAACAAACCAACCAATTATAATATAACTAATTTGCAATTGGAGTATTCATTGAGAGAAAAAGGTTTAGAAAAAAAGACTTTCAAATTGGAGAATATTTTGCAAATATAAGCCAATCCAATAAAAAAAAAATTCATCTTAAATTTTTCCATCACTTGATGTGTTTTTCATACAACTTAATTTTGATGTTATTTCTGAAATTCATGTTCATATGAGTCATTTTTCTATAAGCTTCATACTAAAGAATTTCAGCTGTTCAAAGTTGGGTCTACTGGACCATCAAAGATCAGTATAACAATCTGACGTATAATTTAAATTACCTAGCAGCAATAATAGACCTTGTAACCAAATTGTTATTCTGTGAGTTGACTGTTTGAGAAGGAGAGCTTTTGTTCCACAACACAAAGTTTTTGAAAAATATTTACCAATAATTTTCTTTTTGATACTGACCAAGGGCTAGAAGATGTTTTCTTTTAGTAACAAAATCCTGCTGGTTCCTTTGCTTTCTGAACAGTTTTAGAATTAATGGATTCCAAAATAGGTGGTGATTGCTTACCAAGGAAAAAGCAAAGAGAGACTATTTATATGCTATTTTATTTATTCTTTATCATTCAGAAAATCTGATGACAGCAGTCATCAGCAAATGATTAAGACACAGAGATTCACTCAACAACAGTATTTTGCAAAAATTCCATTGTTTTCTTGCTTAATTCTAGACATCTTCACTATCCTATGCCTAGCTGGGAGATCAGCTAGATTCTCTTAAAATTTTTGCTTACTGGTGAAGGCAAACTGATTTCCAATGAACTTTAATTATTCACCACTTATTTATCAGAACTAGAAAAAGTCAAGGAAAAAGGGTAGAAGTGTCAGGGAAGAATATATGGCACATGGATTCAAGAGTTTAGATAACTGACAGTAAAATATATGTTCTTTGGTTAGCAAACTGAAAAAAAAAGGGGGGGCAAGTACTGCATACATGATAGATACACACTAGCATTCTAAAGCAGGAGACAAGAATGTCAAGAGTGTACTCTTCCCCCACTGCCAGATGGAAGGGCTATTATTATAAATGAAAGGCAGCAGTAGTGGATGCCAGGCACTTTTGTTGTGTGCCAGATTCTGAGGTCCAGATGTAAGCAGGTTACCCCTGGGACAGGACAGGCTTCAGCTCCCGCAGCAGAATAGAACCAATCACTGTTTTCTCAGTGTTTATGATGAGCTGTGCTGTAGAGCCTTCCTTCAGCTCCACTGTGACTAGCATCAGTGACCCACTGTGCACAGTTTTAGCCGCAAATCTGGAGGAAAAAAAGTGAAGAGATCTTCATGACGAGGGGGAAGAAAGAAGACAGCATATTGTTCCTAAAGTCAAATGGGTTTAACAGAACCTTTTCCCCCAAAATAAAATAATCTAAGAACAGGATCCAGAAAGCCCAAATCCAAGCATTCTTCAGAAAATAAACTGTACAACATCCTGACCCTAAAGTCTGCAATTTTAGAGTCTGTCAAGTGGAGACTCTTTTATTTAGACGTTTAAATGTGAATCTGCATGTCCGTAGCCCCTCATTTACAGAGTAAGGTATTTTGGGGGTCCTTTTAAAGCATATTATTAATTCACTTGATATTTAATATATTGTCTTGGATATAGTACATCATTCTATTTTTCTTCTCGATGTTATTTTCTGACTGCAAATGTATCTTTCGCAGAGTTTGAATTTTAAAAGTCAGTTGGTAGGGTATGCAGAGGAAGAAAAAGCCTTTCTCCTCTACATACCATGAAAACATTTCCTACATTTCCACCAGTGAGTCAGGCTGAAAGATTCTATCTCTAGTGATGATGACTAGGGATCAAGTGAAAATGGCCAATGAAGTACTTACCTCCCTTTGTTGTACCTTCAGAGCATGAGATACCCCTTTTTCCTTTTGAATATATGAGAAGAAACTTAAGGACTAATGCTCTATTACTACATTCCAAGACATGAAGAATCTACTAATTACATGGAATTAAAAGCAAAACTAGCCTTTTAAGCACTGCAATTGACTGAAAAGCCATTTTAAACACAATGAACTTCTGTCAATCCTGCTAATTCATTCTGCACGCACAGCCAAGCCCCAGAGACAGGAAGGAAGAGGATGAGAACCACCTAGTCCTCCGTATCCCATAAGGAACAATCCACACTTTTTTTTGGGGGGGGGGCACGACAAACCAGAGCACAACAAAGTTGCTGCGCATGAGCTTTTGAAAACACTAACAAGTGTGGAGCAGGTCTGTGACCTGCTGTGACCCCACTTTTCAGGGCCAATCCCCTTTCCCCTTTCTGAATGACACGTGTCTGAATCAGAGCCATCTGCCTCAATTTGCGCAACATCTTCAGTCACAATAGGACCCAGTTAGCCCTGACAACAGCTCACAATACCTAAAAATAAAACTGCTGGGCTGATTGCATGCTGTGGGCTATTCAGGAGCAAACCAACTGGTCAGTGTCTCATGTCTGACAATTAGCATGGGCCTTGCGCAGTGCCTACTGGGGTCCTCAGGGATCTGTTTAATTACCATCAACATAAAAGAGGGAGTTTATCAGGAGACACTCAAAAAAACTTCACTCCAGACTTAATTAAAATATTAGCCACTTAAGCAGGAAACAGATTCTCTTTAAATGAGAAGTAATTTCTTTTTGATTTTTTAAAAATCACATCAAAATCTCATAACACGTTACATTCATTTTGGGGGGCGGAAGCTAACAGGCCATTTTTGGCCCTAAATATAATCATGAAAAAGTTTCCCAACAATAATTAAAATACTGCATCAAAAGAAAAACAAACATTCTAATTTTGCTAAACTGAAAATATTATCAACAGACTTATAAATTATGTTTTTAAATGCTAGTTAATAACGGGTTACTGACAAGGTATGAAAAAAAAAACCCAACCCATAACCATTTATCTGTCATATGAATTGAAAACATTTCCTTATATACTAAAACACACTAGGCATTTGTAAAGGACATCAAAAAGAACAAAAATTTTTCTTACTAAGGGAGGTTACTCTTGAAGTTATCAGTTGAAGGGATGAAAAACATTATGTGTGTGTATAAAATACATTACATATATGTATATATTTATGAAGCTCCATTACACAACAACTTGCTTTTTTGTCAGACTCTTAGTCTCAAGAGACTAGGCAATGTGTGCTCAATTTCCATTCTGAGGGTCTACATCTCTTAAATAACCTTTCTTATATGAGGTTTATCACAGGCCTATGGGACTTCTTTTGTCCAAAATTCTGAGGTATTTCTGCCTCCTAGGAAAATCACATTTGTGTCAAATCAGGTTACCAGAGGCTAGCTAATCACTTGAGCATCCTGTTTATTACATTTACTTTTGTCTATAATCTTGGTCATTCCATCCATAATGTAAAGCCCCTTATTTCTCCAGTTGATTCTGACAGGTTTATAATTATGTAAACAATAGTCTTATTAGTCCCTTTATTTACTTAACACTTGTGTCATGGGACCACAGAGAAGCAGATTATGTCTGAATAGGAACACAAAAGCCTGTAGTTTTCAGTTTTAGTGCTGCATAGCCCCAAGGCACGTTTTTACTTCTTTTCTATTAAAAACTTAAAGTGGTAGAGAGCCAATGTTATGATAATGCAAAATTCATCAGAGACACGTGTCAATTTTGGTGTCAGTATGTTTATGCGGATTAAAATTAGTTTCTTGTACATGTTCTTTAAATCCTATTACCACCAAATTCTCAAAATGCTCTAACAAATAAGGACAGGAAAGAGAGGAGGTATGCATTTGCTCTGCAGTGGAAACATGCTAAACAAATCATTCCAGCAAGAGAGCTGTTAGCTAGTATAAAAGCAACTGCGTTTTTAACAAGGTCTCTGTGTTCTGGTGGGCACCAGTGTTGGAAGCACTGCTTTAAAGAAGACCAGAAGATCAGATGTTCTGACATTCTCATTTCACAGTTCAAAAAAGATGTATTTAATTGGAACACAGTGTGATCACAGTGTGGCTTGTTTCGGATTGCTGAAAGCAAATGTGTATCCCACCACCCCTCCCCCAACTGAATATATCCGGGAACCATAAGCCAGACCACAGTCCCAATCTACTGTCACAAAGTGATCATTTTAGAAGTATTTCTAAATAAGTTCGTACAAGACAAAGTAACTAATTTTTAGACGCACTGGTGCCAATTACATAGCTACAGAAAGTAACAGCTGACATCATTAGAGCATTTAGGTTGTACTTGGCTTGAAACATATGTTAAAACTGTGACATTCTTTTCCTTGGAAGGTATTTGATTCCATGTTGGGTCAACCCGTTTTGCTTCTCGGGCTTACTGAACATGTACTTTGTCTTTAATCACATAAACTAATTTTCTTCTTTGGTAACTGTCACCATCTTCAAAAACCTGTATGGGGAGGTTTTCTTTCTAAAGAATATGAACAAATTTCCAGCCCTTTATATGATCCTTTTCCTAATCAAATTCTGTATTTAACTTTTTCTTTTCTTTACATAAAGAAAAACATGTGCTTTTTCAAATGAGATCTCAGTGGATGTACAATGCTGGGCTTTTGTAATGGAGTTCTTGTGATATAGGGAGGGTCTACTAGGAGACCAACCAACCTCGAAAAACAGAAACAGAGTAAATGAGAATAAATAAGTGAGCTGACAGTTAAAAATGCACTGTCTATTTAAGATGGGTTCTATCTTATTAAGAGGCATTTTTCATAATTTTTCAATTCATTCTCTACCAAGTACTAGTTGCTTAATATTACCCAATAAAAACTAAGATTTTAGCTCTAGGGAACCTTAGAGATCATTCCAACCACTCTTTTATTACACAGATGAAAAAATTGAGGTCCATAAGTGATCTGACTTGTCCAAGATCACCGAAGTTGTCAGCAGCAAGGGTATGCTTGTACTTCACCTTGCCAAATGGATGTCCACAGATGTGTGATACTGAACTGTTGGCTTTAAAGCTTTGGAGAATATAAAATACTACTAAGATTTTTAAAACAGAGGAAAATAAGTTGGCATTAAACTCTAAAGAATGTGTTCCAATTACTGAAAATGTCTTCTATCTTAACTAATGATAATTAGGGTGACCAAAACCAGTCAAATAACAACAAATGAGATGTCAATAGTATCTAAAACATATTCATGCACTTAAAATATATTTTCTCTGGATTTGTGAGAAGCTGTGTGGGGATTTCAAGTCCCCTTAGTTTGAGTGAATAAAAAAATCTTGCATCTAAATGTAAACAATTAAGATATTTGTATTAAAATAATCCTTAAAATGATATTTGTCTCAAAAGCTGCATGAATTTTCCAGGGTATTCAAAAACAGAATTAAGAAAACAAAACAAAACAAAACCCCAAAACACAGAACAAGATTTGCTAGAGTTAATGCAAACAGCTCTAAGACATGCTTTTTCTTCTCTTGGGTAGCCTTCCTGGTCCCTGATTTTTCTATTCTGAGTTCAATTTTCTCCTGTTTTCTGTTCTACTGGTTACCAGAAGCTGTGACAATGGCCCACTCAAGCTAAAACTTTTTTTTTCCTACCCTGTACATGAAGCCTTCAATTACTGCCTGCTGAAGCAGACAGAATCCTATTAATAAGAAAGACGATCACAAGATGCAATGCCCTGCCCTCGCTGTACAAAAATAATTAGTCCAAAGTTGACAAATGTGTAATGAAGTTGCACAATGCTTGTATGTAAGAAGTCCTGGTTTGAATTAGTTTCCTACTTCCAAATATCAGAGTGAATTGTTATGGGACAATATTTTCCAAAAAGCTGAAATGAAACAAAAATTTAAAAATTGTTACTATCTTATTAATTTGGTTTAGCATATCACAGCAAAAATACAGAAAATACTTTGAACAGGGAGAAAAATCTATAAACTACATTTTTTAAAAGTTGGATATATAATTACATTTTAAGAGACAATCCTAGAGTGCTTAATTAATAGAGAAAAGTTTAAATTTATTCAAATTCATAAATGTCAACATCTCCCCTTCATAATTTCCAAAATTAATTCTTTAATACCAAGATGTAATGCTACCAGTTAGACAAAAATAATCTATCCCCAACACTATTTAGTTTTGGCTATTCTCTATTCTAGTTTTTAGAAATACTAAATATATTCCATACTCTAAACCAACTAGTTTTTATTCAATGACACATTCTCTTTCTTCTACACAGTAAACTAATTTTATTTCCGAAACTCAGAGGATGGGAAGAAGAAAAAACTCCCCCCCCCAGGGGTAGGGTGGGGAGGGAAA